AGGTGGTCACTTTTCATTTTGTGAAAATTTCCGAAGGACAGAATTAATTACCGTGGGTGTACACTGCAGCTGTGTATAATTCGCTTGCGCGCGCATTCCCTCCCTACAGTCATGCGCATTACCAACTACGATCTTAATCTATTCCTCTCTGTCAATCTACTCGCCTTCACTTTCGAGAGACTATGCTCCTTCCAGTACTATATGTTCTAAGGCAACAACACACCTTGTAATCCTTGAATATTTCCACCATGGGCACAGCATCAGTAGCGCAACTCTCCCGATTTTATGTTGCCTAAAATGGAGTGCGCATGCGCGAAATGTGGCAGTTACTAGACTATTAGCGTTTTCCACTGGGAAAACTGGTGCAGCACTAGCGCCGTGCTACCCAATCAGCATACCATTGGGGCAAAATTCCTGATATGTCCTGACTAAAAAATAAAAGTTTTCCAATTTGGTCAAAACTTGACTGAAATGTTGTTATTGTTAGTGAAAGTCTAAATATCAAGTATTTTTGAATTTGATAAACTATTTTTTGAGTTAAAGAGTTACAAAATTTTGACTTTTTTTTAAATGTTTTTTTTTAAATTTATTATATTTATAAGTATGATGCATAAAAGTTAACATATAAGTAGTGATTTTTAATGGTCTTTTTCTGCGCTATACGGTAGTGGTAAAAGTTTTTTCAAAAAATTACACTCAGGCGCGTGGCGATAAAGGAGGGCGTGGTATAGTGGCGCGCGGGTAGAGCGCGCGGGAGTGTTTGAGCGTTATTTTCTCAAAAACTAATCGGTATCCCACTTTGATTTTCACATATCTTATAGAAAAAAAGTCAAGCTTTCTGTTTAGACAGTCGAAAAAAATTTTTCAAAAACCGATTCTGAGCTATATCGAAATTAAAACTTTTACCTTGAATTTCAAGGTCAAATGTTAATTTTTTGGAAAAACTTTTACCACTATCGTATAGCGCAGAAAAAGACCATTAAAAATCATTACTTATATGTTAACTTTTATGCATCATACTTATAAATATAATAAATTGAAAAAAAAACATTTTAAAAAAAGTCAAAATTTTGTAACTCTTTAACTCAAAAAATAGTTTATCAAATTCAAAAATACTTGATATTTAGACTTTCACTAACAATAACAACATTTCAGTAAAGTTTTGACCAAATTGGAAAACTTTTATTTTTTAGTCAGGACATTTCAGGAATTTTGCTCCCATTTTAAAAAATATTTTTTAAATATGGTATGCTGATTGGGTAGCACGGCGCTAGTGCTGCACCAGTTTTCCCAGTGGAAAACGCTATATGCCTTTCTCTTTTCATCCTTTTTTCGCTCTGTCAAACCTATTTATTTAGCGCATGCGCACTCTATTTCCGCCAACATAAAATCGGGAGAGTGCGTTACTACATATACTGTGCTAGTGCGTTTTGACAGAGCGAAAAAAGGATGAAAAGAGAAAGGCATAGTCTAGTAACTGCCATATTTCGCGCATGCGCACTCCATTTTAGGCAATACTTGCATCAAAGGTGCCGACAGAGAGTTGCGCTACTGTATATATACTGTGGTCTGGGGTTGCTTTAGTTGGTAAGGAGTAGGAAATTTGTAAAAATCGATGACACTATGACCGCAGATACTTACATCGATATTCTTCGTGAAAATCTGGAGATATCATTACTTCGCGTCGGATTGGAAAATAATTTTATCTTCCAGCAAGACAATGACCCGAAGCATACGGCAAAAAGAAGTCAAGCATTTATGAAATCTAACAGAATTAAATTTATTCATTGGCCTCCACAATTACCCGACCTCAATAGAAAATCTATGATCCACTTTAGATAAGAAGATTGATAAAACCGGAGTGACTAATAAGGAAAATTATTTCACATCACTTCAGAAAGCCTGGGAGGAGATAGATGAAAAATATATTCAAAGCCTCGTGGAAAGTATGCCAAGACTTCAGGTAGTAATCAATGGAAGTCATACCAAATATTAAAATGTATTTTTTTTTGTTTTTTCTAATTTTCTCCATATTTTATTTATAAAAAATAAATATGGTTCCTTTTTTTTGTCCTAGTATTAAATAAATCATTTTTCAAAAAAATGAAATATGAATTAATTTAAACAAGATAAAGAAAAATCTGTTATAAATATTAAAATTTTGTTAATAACAAACTGTCTGAGCTAAATTATTTTAAGTTCTTTCCATTTTTTGACAATTTCTTGAAATAAAAACTTATAATATTATAGTGGCCTCTTTTTTTTATCAGTCACTGTATGTGGTGTATATATATCATATATATACATATATATAACAATTTACTATAACTAGAAGATATATAATTAATGTGTCGTATTATAATTAATTTTTTAAAATTTGTTCGTGATAACTCAACTTATATATAAATCAAATTCAACTAAAGTCAGAAATAAAACTACAAGTTAGAAATATAAATATTGTATTTTTTGTTAAGAACTAAACATGAAGAGATATGCTTCCTATTACATAATATGAATATTACATCATACGAATATATGAAATATGAATTTCATAACCTTAATATGTATATAAATGGCATAATATGTATAAAATATTCAAGAAATTATTTTGAAATAAATAATTTCTATTAAATAAATATAATGCTGTTACACATAGAATCATTTTAATTTATAATTGGAAAAAAGTATTATCATGATCTATTAAAACAAATGATTACAAATCATAAATCATAGGTTGTAAATTGAGAGACATGTACTGAAATTAAACAACATATTACATTCCTGTACATGTGGCTTAATTATTTTATATTATACCATAAATGTTGATACATTTCATAAAATCGTCATGTCAAAAGTCAATAAAATTGTAATCTGTCTTCGTCATAACATAATTTATTCGTTCCTTCTAAGTGATCTTAATCCAAAATTAACATAAAAAAATTATGCACTATAAGCAATCTACAAAATGGGAAAAGCAGTGAATTCTTTTAATTTAATATTATCAAAAATACATATTATATATCCTAAGATCGAAAAACTATATTTCCGAAAATTATAGGACAAATACATGTATTCGAGAAAATTGTAAGAACAATAATCAGAATATAATTATTTTAATTGATTAATTACAAGAAGAACAATCTTCTATTAAAATCAAACTTCTGATTGTATAATTTTTGTATCTTTCTCGAAAATACATAATTTTTTTCCTTTTTTTCTGTATAATGACACCTTGACTGTTATGATAGTTTACATGATGACACACCATTTCTTTGTACTCTCAATTGGTTCAGCCATCATTTTATTGTCATCATGTTTTATGCCGCTATTGTCTAACTTGGTAGTTTCAAATTTATAAGATGTAGCTTTTGGTGTAGATACCTGCATACTAGGCATACGCAAACCTTTTAATAGATTAATAGATGTATTGAAAATGCTACTACTTTCTGCATCCGTTTTCTGCTTTTTCGTCGAACTCCAATTTTCTGTTTCAATTCTGCGTTTTCTGTCTAACGGGCTACCATTCGTAGAGAAATCGTCGGATAGTAAACCATAAGATAAGACTTTAGATTCTATTCCTTCATCCTGTGTAGACATAGAAGAAGTATTCACGAAAAGAGAACTATTCGGTGATATTCTATTTTCACGTAAAGTAACATGTCGCATTCGACCGATGGAATGTCTTCCTGAGATGTTTCTCAGCGTCCTTCCAAATGACTGGTCTTTTAATAGTTGATTTGATATATCTTCTGTATTGCTTACATCGTAGAGTTTCGAATTATCTTTCAGACAATCGTTGAGTCTAATTTGTACATCTTTTAACATTATAGATGAATCATAAGAAATGAATGATGGATCATTTATAGTGTCATCAGTACTTTCTTTATCCTTCTGTGTGTCGCTCTGAATAATGGATTCCGATGTTACGGATATTTCTGATGTTGTAGATTCAACAATATCAACCGAGCAGCTTTCATTATTGGTTGCAGCTTCGCTTTGCATCTCTTCTTTCTCATTTACACCGTTTTTTATTCCCACTGGTACTAGAAGTAATTCTTCTCCCTGTCCATTGTTCTTTGGTTGTTTATCGTCTGATATTTCTTTTTCATTACTTAAAGAAATTGGTTCTGCTTCATATATTAATTTAATGTCATTTGCTTCTTGTTCTTCTTTGGTTTTAGTATCAACATCTTCTAATAAGACTCCTTCTTTTTCTTGAAGAATAGTTTTATTCTCTGCAACAAATACTGCCTCAACAGTTTTCATAGTTTGAAGCTCATTTGAGATCTTTTCATAGGTATGATCAATATGTTCTTTGCTCATAATAAATTTCTCAGTTTCGGCAGCTTTATTGTTACCGTTCTCCTCTGTAACATTTTCTTTCTGAATTGAAACATTCAGTTTGACTTCAGATTCTTCTGATTGTGACTGCATGTCTATACTTTTTACTTCTGGATTTTTTATTAGTATTTTGTGTTGCTTTGTTTGATGTTCCATTTTTGATGGAGGGCGAAGTTTACTCTATAACATACATTATTTCCACATTGCAAAGACCTAAAACGATGCAAAAAAAAACCTAACAAATAATTTTAAAGTTGCAGACTTATTATTAGTATGAGTGCATTGTGCATTTTTATCAATTTAAAATTAGTAGGGGAGACTGGGGCCAGTTGTAACGGAGGTAAGTTGTAACAATGCATATATCTTTTAAATGATAAGAAATACAATGATCATGTGAAGAACAAAAAAACTCAGTCAGTATCGAGGCCTGCGTTTGCTTCATACCACCAATCGCGCGTGTGCTGCATGTAAAAGAGGTTATGTGTATTGTGTTCAAACAAGCCACGTAAGTGTAAATTTACATTGTTATACTTTTTTGCTTTAAACTTTCAAATGAAATGCTTTTTGCTGTATTTTCATTTTATTATATCTAAAATACAATTTCTCAAGTTATGTGTTTTTTTAATATTTTTAAGTAGTTCCAAACATATTCATATAAATTTTGACAACACCGGTTTGGGGTTAGAAGCAACATACCGCTGGGATACATTGTAACACCATTAATCTTTTATATCTTATGCTCATTTATTTTATATCTCCTTTTTTTCACATTTAAAGCATGATAAACTATAAAAGGAAGACTCAACGTGCACACAAATCGTCGAAAATATTTCAAAAAGCAGTAAAATTAATAGAAAATGAAGATAAATCAGTAAGAAGTGATATATACTACACGTGTGTGTGTGTGTGCGTGTGTGTGTGTGTTATATATGTATAATATATATATGTAATATATATATAATATTTTCAACGATTATATACACACACACGCGCGCGCACACGCACGCACGC